AAGGAGGTGTCATGGAAAAGTTGACTCCAAGATCCAGGCGGAGCGGTGTACCTTTCGCTCAGGCCTGATTAACTCGAACCAGATCTTTGCCATACGCCGGACGGTGGAATTGCTCATCAGGTTTGTGTGCCTTGCATGTGCATGTGCCTTGCAAGCCTGCAGTAAGCCTACCAGTCGGATTCCGCACAAACGCTATGGACATGTCTGCTGATTTTCTGACACATTATTTCATGAACCATAACAGCAGCTGTCATTTGGTATGAAATCTGCAATGATCATATTACGATACATCTCCATGCGAACATGAATCTGGAGATTAAAGTCCCGTACAGACTGGCACGAATGAGGAGTCGGCAAAATAATAACCCAAGTACCTTACCGAATAAAACATTCAAAAGATTTCAAGCAAGTGACACCCGAAAACGGAATTAAAATTGTACGATAAATCATCAATTCTTCAAAGAAATGGCATTCTTTGAAGTGCCCGTCGCGCAGAGCGGCTAACCCGCTGACATTCCTTATTCATTACAGTAGTTGTGAAAGTCCATTATCAAGGCCGAAACGGTACAAAGTTTTGGTGTCCATTGTAGATAGTGTTTTCTATACCTATTCAGGTAGTGCTTTATGGAAGAATGACACTATTTATAATTCTGTGCAGATGGGTTTGGGGTCACAGTTTACATTAATCTCCGCAGAAAGCAGGGCGAAATTTTTTGTTAAACAGCCATCCTTTAACAGAAGATGGCGATTCAATGACCAGGCAGGTGAAATTTATCGCTCAAAGATATCATGAGTGAAGAGAAAATAAACAATAATTAAATTCGTCTAGTTCATGAAAATTTCTGACATCAATGTTAAAGCATTTTGACCAAATCTCTGTCATACTGCTGTCATTCGTCTGAAAGGAGGATGCTGTTCGCCATTGCCTGAATAGACAGGACATTTATATCCAGCTAAAGCTGTTCCACATATTACAAAAGTATATAATACTGCTATAGCATAAGCTAACCATGAAATGCAGCTTAAATATATTTTGAGCATAAGAAGAATTTATCAAATATCTGGGGACGACATCACGAAAACCACCAACTGCTACTTTTTGAACAAGTTCATCCACACATTTCTCTCGATCGCCTGAACGACTTTCTTTATCATCATAACTTTCCGGACAAAAGAGCGCAACAGACAGGCAGGCTTGACGTCACCTATTAAATATATAGTGCGGCCCTTTCATGAACTCGCTGGTCAGTGTTTCGTCCAAACACACTAGAGTAACGTTAATCGTCTAAAAAACGCTGTGCACTCCTAAAGCTGGAAGAGTTCATGTACGCTTCAGAACGATAGCTTCAAAGGCGGCACGTTTGGTGAAGATGCGCAAGATGCAACATTCGCTAATCTTTACCAAATAAGCCGTCTGTAAAGGGCCTTTAAACTAAGCTAACCGAATTTAACGTGAGAGTCGATTTTTCACATGTCTCTACATAAGTTCTCTTACGAGCATAAATCTCACGACAAGCGTTTGATTAATGTTACTGTATTAGCGGTGGCAAGACCAACGAATTCACTGTACGTCATCTGCAAACGAATTCAGGAGTGGGCGAGACGCGTGTGCGTTCTGAACCGAGTTTGCAGAAAGAAACTCTTGGCAACGCGTCCGCCTCGTGCCGACCTTGACTGAAGCATTGTTTGGTAGATAATGAAACTTAGTGAAAAACTGTAAAGTTAACGGTGAAAATCTTATTTATCCCCATCCTCCCGTTGCCAACGTCGAAAATGACGAGGACGACGAGGATAAAATTTTGTGCAGAACCGATTACCTCTTGCAGCTGAGGATTCGGTGACAGATGATACACTGATTTGGATCGGTGACTTTTGTATCGTTGTCACCGACCAACATTTTGATTTTTGCCGCCTCGTCTGAGGTCGTGATCTCCATCATTGACTCCCAGTCTTCGTCGACGTCCTCTGTCATCGCTGACAAGCCGGCGGCATTGGCATCTTGCAGCATGACGGCGGCGGCGGCGGTCGTGGAGCAGGGCACGAACTCGGGCAACGACACTGCCTCGTATTTGCGGTAGTAGGGCACAGCTTGAGTAGTCGATACACCGCAAAAGTATTGGCCTGTTTGCGTTGACTCTTAAAAGGATCACGCGATAGAAAATGAGCTACTGCCGCGTTGCTAGCCGAACTGCGTTCGTTACCTGAATTCAGGCTGAGATCTATGGGGGTCGAATCAGTGGCCACTGTGGTGGCTAAGTGGCCGGCGGAACTGTCTTGCGCGCTGGTGTCCGACATACTGTCGTTCGAATAAGCTGCGTTCAGCGGCTCCATGTATCTGCTCGCCGACTCGACCGACGAACAAGACCGGGTGCGCGACAAGTCCGGCTCACTTCGGGCCGATGAGTTGCCGGCAGCGAACTGAGATCTGGCGAACGGTGCCTTCATAAGCTCTTGAGTACAGGAAAATGGAAAACTATATGAACGCCGCCGTTTAGGCGGCCAACACGGGACCGACAACGACAACAAAGTGCCAAGTTTCGTCCGTTCCTTAATCTTTGACTGCCCCTGCTCGTTGAGGACAACGCTGCCGTCTTCGGTCACTGACTCACTTTTAAC